ACTAATCCCGTCCCTGAGCTTTAAATGTATTTGTTCTTCAACTTTTGGCTTATTCTTTGCTTCTAGTTGTTGAAATGTGAGAACTTTCTTTTCTCATTTTTGATGTGGAATAGAGTATTTTAGACACCCCTTATTTAAATATTCATTATTAAATTTCTTTTTAATTTCAATGGGTTTAAATTTCTTCTTCTTTATTTTATTATTTTAAGGAGAGTATATAATTACTACTGTATTGCTTTGGGTTAATATTCTTTTTAGAATCAACCACCACACCCTTTTCTTTTGTTAATCTTTCTTATATTATCAAATAATACTTGTATTCTAACAAGTAATAATAACATCTTTATAAATACCCATTCTTTTATTATCAATGATATTCTGTCATTGTAATTAATAATCACTGTTATTCTTGCAGTACCGGGTAAGATGTTTTTCTAACCAAACGCAACGTCATAACCAGTCCATAACTGGTGGGAATCGAAGGATGGAAATATTTTAGTGTTGTGTGTGGTGTCTCTGACGTGCTACCTTCGAATCATAAAAATAAGAATGGTAAATAACAAATAAATGAATAGAATGAAATGAATAGAGTATAGAAATAAAAGAATCTATAAAAATAAATAACAAAAAGAAGAAATAAATGTTATTTTATTATAACATTTTAATTTAATGTAATTAAAAACATAAAATGAACTTAATAATAAATATGAGATTTAATCAATAACAAAACTAATAAATGTGATATATAACAATAAAAAATAATGTTATTAAAAAAGAACTTAAAAATGAATAATAATGGGAATAACATCATCAACACCAATTGATAAAATAAAAGAAGTAATTCAACAACTAGAAGAATGGACAGAAAGAAGAGTAGGAAATATATTATTTGATTCAGATATTGATGATTGGAATGAAGATACATCAGTATTTGATCAAAGAATAGTGAATAAAGAACATATAATAATTATTGTTGAAGATACAAAGGGAAATAAATTTGGAGGATATGTTAATAAGAAAATTGATAAATTTGGTTATTGGATAAATGATCCATATTCATTTGTATTTTCATTAAAATCAAAAAGAAGAATAAAAGGAATGATGAAATTTGATATTAAATATCCACAACATGCATTTTATTTACATGGTCAATCATATATTTGTTTGTTTATGTTTGGATTAGGATATGATATTTGTGTTTGTAAAGAAAACCATAAAACAGATTCATGCTGTAAACAAGGTTCATATGAATATAAAGGATTAAGAAAAGCACTTTGTGGAAAACAATGGCCAGAATATTTCACAACCCAAAGAATCATTGTAATTGAAATGAAATGATTTTTATTCATTATTGTTTATTTGAAATATAAAACCACAAAAAAATAAAAAGTAGATAATTAAGTATTAATAGAAATATTTTAATTGTTCCTTGCTCAGGGGAGACTACTAATCCTATTCTTTTGCTTTAAAAGTACTTGTTCATCAACTGTTAGCTTATTCTTTGATTTTAGTTGTTGAAATGTGAGAATTCATTTTTTTGTTTTTGATGTGGAATAAAGTATTTTAAACATCAATTATTTAAATATTCATTATTTAATTTCTTTTTAATTTCAATGGGTTTAAATTTCTTCTTCTTTATTTTATTATTTTAAGGAGAGTATATAATTACTACTGTATTGCTTTGGGTTAATATTCTTTTTAGAATCAACCACCACACCCTTTTCTTTTGTTAATCTTTCTTATATTATCAAATAATACTTGTATTCTAACAAGTAATAATACCATCTTTATAAATACCCATTCTTTTATTATCAATGATATTCTGTCATTGTAATTAATAATCACTGTTATTCTTGCAGTACCGGGTAAGATGTTTTTCTAACTAAATACAACATTACAATCAGTTCGTAATTGGGAGATTTGAATGATGGAAATATT